AGGGGGGGTAGGTGAGAGAAAGAGAGAAAGGAGGACAGAGATAATTTATTTGCACTAGCGAACTAATTGCATAAAACATCTGCTGTAAGCTGACAGAACGCTTCTTTTCATTTTTGGGGACTTATTTTCTTATTTGCTAAATCCACAGCCTGATCAGTTATTCTACTTGTGAGAAAAAAAATCAAAGAGAAACTGTGACTAGATATCTAGTTTTTGAATAAATTACAACTTTTATTTCGGAAGAAGGCCTGTTTTAAAAATGGTTACGCTGGGAAAAAGCCTCTTTATATCGAAACTGACGTGAATAAAAAAAAGCGTTTCGTCAGTTTATGCCAGACCTGTGCACGCACTAATAGCTGGTATAACGACAATAATTCAACCAGACAACTACTTCTTTATTTTTTATAGTAGAAGGTTTTACGGCGCACGCAACTGCATAAGGTCATATGAGCGCCAAGGGGTGGGGGTCAACAGAGAGGTCTTTACAGGGAATCAGACTTCGACTGCTCACCTCTCTAGCTTCAACAGCACAAGGTCTGCTTCAACTATCAAGGCACCCCAAAAATAGCAGGTCACAAGAGAGTGACAAACATACAAAAGAAGTAGAGGAAAATGACAATAGTAAGGATTAGGAAAGGAAAAGCAGCAGTTCCCTGTAGTAGATCAGGCACAGTTATGAGCGTGACATGAGTCAGCCCATTTACAATTCTACTATGTTTGAACGAGAAATGTCCCATCCCCTGGTGGTCTATAAATCAATCAGTGTGGGCCTCGGCCACCATCCGGGCAAAATTCAAAATTAAATCCTACCAAACTAAAAACGTTAAATGCGTCCTGTGTGCTCATATGATCTTATGCAGTTGCGAGTGCCGTAAAACATTTATTAAAAAAACCCACGACTAATATCAGAAAACAAATTAAGAATAATAACAGTTCTTCTTACCATTTTAAAAAAAAATTTTCGTCGGACGAAAAAAATGTAATCGAATGCCTGGATTTTACAAATACGACTCTATTCTTTGTTGATTATTTAACATCATGGAAAATAACGGAGGAAAAAAAACACCAAAAAACCCCCGACAAATGATCTCTCAGCTTACCTTTGCGGCCAGGTCGTAATAACTCTGTTTCTCTTCCACCCCTAGGGCGTACCACCACTCGCCCAGAATTTTGCTGACGGTGCGGTTGTCCTGGTTGGGGTGTCTCTCGTGCACCATGGCGCGGTGGCGCTTGCTGAAGATCATGAAGGCGTTCATGGGCCGCCGGATGTGTTCCTTTGTCTGAAGACAGAGGGAAACACACCAGAGGGGGTTGAGGACAGAGTACTAATTTCTTCACTCCTTGTCTTCTTGGTAATAATACCACATAAAAATAGCAGTAGTAGTAGTAATAATAACAATAATAATAATAA